AACCTGTGTAAGGTGGAAATCTGTCAGAAGGAAAACTCAAAATATTTTTCACTAAATAGAGAGCGATAGTAAAGTGGTAAGACTGCACCGTCAAAGACAGAAAACTTGGAAGACCTGGAAATACAAGGTAGTCCTTTGAGTTCCGGCTTTCACAGGTTTCACTGTTACACTCTTTGAATTGATGACATTAAGAGTGTTCTTGGAAGCTATACCTACACAAAGACAATTTACTCACAGAAGTAATTGCAAACCACATAAATATACCTACTAAACCCAAACTAAATGTATCCCCAATTCAAATTCCTTAGCCAATCTCAAAATACCTGTGGCCTTTCCACTGCCACCTGACAAAAAAGGAAGTGTGATGGAGGGAAAGTCAGAAAGGAATGAGCTATCTTAACCAATGGCAGTTAAAAAAAAATTTTTTTTCCAAATTTTATAAAAACCTATGACCATGTGAACACATTGCTGGGTCTCCTCCAGTGCCTTGGAAGAGGCCTGTGTAAGGGAGGGCCCTGAAACTTTAGCTTCTTAAGCTACAGGGAAATGTGCCTCTGGTCAGTCTTGCTAATATCTGAGCCAAGCAAGGGTGGTGAGTGGCTAAATAATCAACTATATAATATCAAATATCCACTTTTTCCTGACAACAACTTTTTGAGGATATAACATATCGCCACTTTTCACTTTTCTGTTCAGTTCTGACACCCTACCCATGCAGCGCTTCCTCCTCTGACCCTAACCACCCTACGTTAGGTCAGATCTCAAAAGTTAAAGGCCACACCCCATAAAACCAAATGGGACTAACGAGGCACAGCAGTCCAGGGACAAGGGCTAGAAGGCAGAAGGGGACAGGAAAGCTGGTGATAGGGAATCCAAGGTTGAGTAAGGATAGTGTTGATGTGAGGTTGTTAACCATTGTCATAGGGCAATGTGTACTAACTGTTAAATGAGAAACTATTTTCTTCTGTAAACCATCTAAAGTGAGAATAGCAGCACAATTGGAAGAGCATAGTCGATGTCACTGAACTGTGCATGTAGACGTTTTTGAAATGGTGTATCTTTGGCTATGTG